CTGATAAATTGTTCTCCCTCCCCTCACTTTCCATCTACAGTTGCTTTAGGTTGAAAATGAGTCTATTGTATGTCGTGTATAGAAGGTCTTGTATTTTTAATCCAGTCTGATATCCTATGCCTTTTGATTGGACCATTTTTCCCTTTTACATTCACAGTGATTATTGATAGATATAAACTTAGTGGCATTGTGTTACCTCTGAAGTCACTGTTTCTGGAGATTTTCTCTGCTTATTTCTAGTCTTTGTTTCTTTTAGTCTTCCTTTGCCACTCAAAGAATCACCTTTAATATTTCTTGCAGGGCCGGTTTAGAGGCCATGAACTCCTTTAATTTTTGCATTTCTGGGAAATTCTATCTCTTCTTGTATCCGAATGACAGCCTTTCTGATAAAGTATTCTTGGCTGAATAGTTTTCAACTGAGCATGTTGTGGATATCATGTCACTCCCTTCTTGCCTGAAGGTTTCTGTGGATACATCTGCCATAATCTTTTCTTTTGTCTTCCCTGTTTAGTTCGCGACCTCTTTTGTCTTGGTGCTTTTAGGGTTTTCCTTTTTCTGTGTGTTTTGCCAATTTTACTATGATATGTCTCAGGGTTGGCCTGCATTTTTGAATTAATGGCGTTCTACGTGCCTCTAAGATGTGCATGTCTGTTTCCTTCCCCAGTTTGGGAATTTCCCATGGTAATTCACTCAGATAACTCTTCTTCCCTTGTTTTATCCCTCTCCTTCTTCTGAGACTCCTTTGAGAAGCATTTTATTACACATTATGGAGTTGCTGAGATCCATAAACTTATGTTTGTGATGCAATATTTTAATTTTCCTCTTCCTTTCTGCTTCATTTCCTCCATAATTTTATCTTCTATGTCTCTTATTCATCTGCTTCTTTCCACCTTGAGGTCATTATATACAATCAGTTTCACATCTCAGTTACAACATTTAAAACTTCAGCATGACTAGGTTTTAGGTCTTTTCTATATCCAGTAATGGTTTATCAAATGTCTCCTATGCTTTCCTCAAGCACACCAAGTATCCTTATGATAGTTTTTAAAAATTCTATTTCCTTGTGAGAGTTTTTAGAAATTCTGTTTGAGGCATATTAGACGTATGTGTTTTAATAATATCCCTGGCAATGTCCTTTTATCATTTTTTATTTTGGGATGAATTCCTCCATCATGGTGTATTTCTATGTCTCCGCTTTCTTAAGTGTTTTAGAAAATCCCGTTTTGTTTTCTGCTTCTAGAGTAGTGTCTTTATTGAGAAGTGTTCAATTACTGTTGAGGGCTTGACACATTAGGAAGCATTTGTTGTGTGTTCTGTGTGCACTGTGCTGTCGTGTATTGGCTGCTCTGTCCTTCAGCTAAGTCCTCTGCAGAGTTTCTCCTTGTCTCCAGTGATGAGTGTTTAGACATTGTCCACAATGTTGTGAATTTTAACTAGGTGAGTTTGTTCTGACTGTTAAAAGAGACTAATTCCTATTTCCCCTAGAGGTGAAGTTATGCCTCACTATATGGTCTGTAGACTTGGTGCCTGTGGGGGTATATGTCGTCTTTTGAGGGAGGGGAGCACTGCTGGTCTGGGTTCCAGGCACTCTTTCCCTAGTAAGGAAGCATCTGAGGAAGGCAACGGGGGGTATAGCTTGGTGTCAGTGGCTCAGCTTCTACTAGGAGGTGCTGTGCTGCTCACTGAATTCTGTCCATCCTGAATGGTGGGAGGAAATATTGCCATCAGCTCCCTATCTATTCCCTGGAGTTGGAGTTCCCAGCTACCCCTGTTCAGGAAGCCTTCACACAGGGAGAACAATCTGTACTCATGGGTCCCAGGCTTCCATCAGAACCCTGCATTCACCCTGTCATGTCCAAGCCATTGGCCCACCTGGCGGCACAGGGCTCTTATGTTTTTTTCTCAGGAGCTCTAGCTGGGTTTGAAAACTCTAGATTATATGAACTCAATATGACAGGGACATCACTGATCCTCTGGGAGAGGGTCTCTCTGTGCTGTGCCTGGAGCTAGTTACCCCAGAAGGGCAGTTGCATGAACACTAGGGGCTTGGAGTTCATGGTGAAGAACAACAAGAAGGCAGATTCCAGTTAGCTGCTCTCAGCAGAGGCTCCTATGCTAATGACCAGAGCAGTGCAATGGTGCCTGTCAGCTCTCCTGCCCCATGAGAGGAAATGCACCCTTTACGAAATGCACCCTGAGAAGGGAACTGTCTCTTCCCAAGTCGCCCAGGGAATTCTCAGACCACAATGCCCCCTATGGGACCCAGCCCTCCTTCTCCACAGAAGCACAGCTATGCCCACCAGGCTCCATGCCAGTCATGGCATGGACTTCTAAATCTTCAGTCCTTGAACTCCGCGTTTACAGGAGGTTGACTTCTCATGATTACTTTTATGTGTCATTTTGACTGCATCATGGGTACCCAGATTCCCCACTGTTTCTGTGGATGTCTGTGATGTGTTACAGAAGAGACTGGAATTTCTATCCGTGGTTTCTGTCTGCCTGGGCATCACCCATTCCATTAAGGTTCTGAGTAGAAACTGATGCAGAGGGTGGAGGAATTCCCTCAGTTTTACTTCCCATGTGCCTGTTTGAATTGGAACATTGGTCTCCTCTGGCCCTTGTTCTGAGAGTTATATCATCAGCTCTTCACGTTCTGAGACTAGAAAGTAGTTCAGAATCAGATGTAAATTACACCACTGGTTTTCCTGGGTCTCCAGCATGTGAGAGTGGAATGTGGGGCTTATCAATGTATTTAGTCATGGAAACCAATGTGCTTTGGGTTCTCTTCCTCGGGAGAATCCTGACTAATACATGGAGATGAATTATCTCTTCTTTAGAGGAATTGAATAAAGCTGTAGCTCATTTAAAGTCCTGAGTAGCAAGTGCCAGGAGGGAAGTGTCACGTTGTTTGATTGGGGAAAGCACTGGGTGAAGATGATGGGGAGCTGTGGGATCCTGTGGTCCTGGCTGCACAGTGAGTGCATCTTGGACTCCTGTAAAGGTTCAGCTGTTGTGCGTCAGGAAATCTGCAATTCACTCATAGAGAGAGACAGGAGTAAGCAATGCAAAGAACTGCGTCTTTTGTGCATGTTAGGGTAGTTTTCCTATGACAACACAGTTGCTAATTCAGAGTTAATAGGTAATCACAGAATCCTGTGTCAAGAGAGGCTCCCTGGGGAAACTGCTGTGTGTAGAGGAAGCCCCAAGACCCTGACAGGAAACCTGTCTGTGTCCTCCAACTGCACCTGCTCCTGGGAACACAAAGTAGAATTGTGCATAGTGTGCGCCCCCTGGTGGTGCTGTTCCCCTCCTGCAGGAAGGTTTGTGTCTGGGCTCCCAGTGAAGTCCCCTCACCGTGTCTCTTGCACAGTAATATGTGGCCGTGTCCTCGGTCTTCAGGCTGTTCATCTGCAGATACAGCGTGTTCTTGGCGTTGTCTCTGGAGATGGTGAATCGGCCCTTCACGGAGTCTGCGTAGCTTGTGCTACCTCCACTACTACTAATATATGCGACCCACTGCAGCCCCTTCCCTGGAGCCTGGCGGACCCAGTTCATGCCGTTGCTACTGAAGGTGAATCCAGAGGCTACACAGGTGAGTCTCAGGGACCCCCCAGGCTTCACCAGGTCTCCCCCAGATTCCACCAGCTGCACATCACACTGGACACCTGAAGACACAAGACATCGTGGTCAGCAAACTGTCACACATCCACTGGTTCTCACTCATACCCACTCACATACTCTGTGTCTCTCGTTCACCATGAATTACCTTTTAAAAGAGCAACAAGGAAAACCCAGCCAAGCACAAACTCCATGGTTAGGTGTCTGTGTTCTGTGCTGATCACAGAATGGGAACACCTGGGACACCCGGGGTTGGGGCTTCTCTCCCAGCTGCAGTGTCAGGGCTGGGCTGGTTTTATCAGCACAGAGTGGGCCCCATTTGCATGTGCTCTGACATATATATCACACTCCAGACTTAAACTTGAATCTTTAAAAGTGAACGACAGGGTTAGGGATGCACTTGTAGTTTAGGTTGTGTAGATGGTGCTGTGACAGTATGAAGAATTCTAATCAGTGAGCACAGGTATATTTGCAGGCCCTTGTGCATTTTTACAGGCCTTTCATCAACATAGATCATTTTCACTCTACAAGTGTTTTACATACTTTTTGAAGTTTAATACAAAATACTTTATTCTGTGCCATTTTCAATTGTATTATTGTGTTATTTGTTTTGCATATATTTCAGTGCTGGTGTGTGGAATCACAGGTGGTTTATTTTTTATTCATTTATTTTTTTTTCTTTTTGTATCCTGCCCTTTTCCTCATTTTTAAAAATTAGTTCTAACCTTTTTTTGTGGTATCTCTAGGCTTTTGTTATGTTTAAGATCATGTCATCTGCAAACAAGTAATTTTCCTTCCTCCTTACTGATTTAAATGTCTTTATTTCTTTTTATTGCCAAAGTTTGTGGGTACTTCTTCCAGTTGTAGGATAAGTCTATCCTAGACTCCCATGTAAGGATTCAATTGAAATAAGACTGATCTAAAGGGGATGTTAAATTTCATTTTGCAAGTGCATGGCCTTCCTAATGATATGATACCCAGAGAATGAACAAAGCAGGTGGCACTTGTGACTTTCAGACAACAAAACTTTGGATTTGGCAAGAGTTAAGGCAAAGGTGTGGGTTTGGGCTATTTAATTTGTCAACAAGTAACCAGGTTTGTTTGCACATCCTTCTTGTCCCTGTGTTCCTTATTCTGGTGCTAAGGATGTTTCTCCCCTCCTGGCACAGGGAAGGGAGTTTTCCCAAGGGAGATTTATTTCCTGATGTCAAGGGACAAAGGACGGTCTTGAGTGTCCTTGGACTGGCTGTTTCTCACGTGGCTTTCATCCAAATCAGCAATGTGACACGATTATATGGTTTGAGGCAGCATGTTTATTCTTCACATTATCATGTGGAATACATATGTTGGGGGTGATCATCATTGCCTGGCTCCTGATGTGGCAGGAATGGTTTTCGTATTTTACTGTTCAATATGCTGTCAGAGGTGGGCTTTCATAGGGGCCCTATTCATGTGGAGGTAATTTTCTTCTCCTTTTTTGTCATTAACATGTTTGTTTTTTATTTTTAAAAATTTATATCCAAATTAGTTAGAATATAGTGCAACAAGGATTTCAGGAGTAGATTCCTTAGTGCCCCTTTCCCATTTAGCCCATTCCCTCCCACAACCCCTCCAGTAACCCTCAATTTTTTCTCCATATTTATGAGTCTCTTCTGTTTTGTCCCCCTCCCTGTTTTTATATTATTTTTGTTTTCCTTCCCTTATGTTCATCTGTTTTGTCTCTTAAAGACCTTAAATGAGTAAAGTCATATGATTTTTGTCTTTCTCTGACTGACTCATTTCACTTAGCATAATACCCTCCCGTTCCATCCACAGAGTTGCAAATGGCAAGATTTCATTCTTTTTGTTTGCCGAGTCATACTCCATTGTGTATATATACCACATTTTCTTTCAACGTTTTTATTTTATTTTATTTTTTTTATTTTTGGGACAGAGAGAGACAGAGCATGAACGGGGGGGGAGCAGAGAGAGAGGGAGACACAGAATCGGAAACAGGATCCAGGCTCTGAGCCATCAGCCCAGAGCCTGATGCGGGGCTCGAACTCACGGACCGCGAGATCGTGACCTGGCTGAAGTCGGACGCTCAACCGACTGCGCCACCCAGGCGCCCCATATACCACATTTTCTTTATCCATGATGGATTATTTGTTTTTTTGAGTGTTGAGTTTGATAAGTTCTTCATAGATTTTGAATACTCTTTATCTGATATGTCATTTTCAAATATCTACTCCCATTTGTCAGTTGCCTTTTAGTTTTGTTGATGGATTCATTGCTGTGTAGAACCTGTTTATCTTGATGATATCCCAAGAGTTCATTTTCACTATTGTTTCCCGTGCCTCTGGGGACAAGTCTAGTAAGAAATTGCTCTGCCAAGGTCAAAGAAGTTTGTGCCTTTCTTCTCCTCTAGGATTTTGATGGTTTCCCTTTTCACATTCAGGTCTTTCATCCATTTTGAATTTATTTTTGTGCATATTGTAAGAAAGTGGTGCAGTTTCATTACAGTTCCATGTTGCTGTCCAGTTTTCTCAACACCATTTGTTGAAAGGACTCTCATTTTTCCATTTGATACTGTTTCCTGCTTTGTCGAAGATTAGTTAACCATATAGTTATGGGTCGATTTCTGGGTTTTCCAATCTGTTATGTTAATCTATGTGTGTATTTTTATGCAGGTACTATACTGTCTTGATGACTATAGCATTGTAATATAGCCTGAAATCTAAATTGTGATGCCTCCAGGTGTTTTTCTTTTTCAGGATTGCTTTGTGGATTCAGGGTCTTTTGTGGTTTCATGATAATTTTATTATTGAAATGTTTTTTATTTATTTTTGAGACAGAGAGAGAGAGCATGAGCAGGGGAGGGGCAGAGAGAGAGAGAGAGGGAGACACAGAATCTGAAGCAGGCTTCAGGCTCTGAGCTGTCAGCACAGAGTCCAATGTGGGGCTCGAACTCACGGACTGTGAGATCATGACCTGAGCTGAAGTCAGACGCTTAACCAACTGAACCACCCAGGCTCCCATACCATGATAATTTTAGAATTACTGGTTCTAGCTCTGTGAATAATGCTGGCATTATTAGACACGGATATTTGCATTGAATTACTTGCGTTGAATGTCTAGATTGCTTTGGGTAGTATCAACTTTTTAACAATGTTTTTTCTTTTAATCCATGTGCTTGGAATATTTTTCCATTTCTTTGTGTCTTCTTCAATTTCTTCCATAAATGTCCCAGATTTTTCAGAGTGAAAATCTTTTAACTCTTTGGTTAGGTTTATTTCAAGGTATCTTGTGGTTTTTGGTGTAATTGTACATGGGAACAATTCCTTGATTTCTATTTCTCCTGCTACATTATTGTTGTATCAAAATGTAACAAATTTCTTTATGTTGATTTTGAATGCTGCACCTCACTCATTGTTTGCAGCCCCACTGCCAAAATGGAAACTCTTCCCTGGGAACAGTCCACTAGGGATGCTGGGAGCCTGGTTACCCCAGACCTGACTTGTATGGCAGAGGTCTCATGCCACAAGGACAAGCAAGCCTCAAAGAATTGAAGTTGTCACCCACCCATAAGCTGAGCCCTCAGTTTCCAAACTGTTTGGAATCCTGTTTGTCCCAGACACTGCAGATCTTTGCCAAGAGTTTTGCCCAGGTAAAGGGGGAGCTGGAGTAATCCACTAAAGCAAGGTGCAAATCTGTTCCTGTGCAACTGACTTCATTTGCAGCTGAGTGTGAGGAAGGTCTGGGCCTCATGTTGTGGGAGAGTCAGGTGCAGGAGACAGATGGTTTCAGTGGAGGATTCCTAACCTACTCCTGCTTACCTTCAGGAGAGAGCCAGAGACATGGACAGTGAAGGTAACAGCTCCTGTCACAACACATATCAGATTATGGCCTCAACAAGTCTCAATTCAGAAGAGTCCGAGGTTGTAGAGTTCAGTCTGTGGAGACTCCATACATCAGAGGATGGTTGAACATAGGAGTGCACTCAAATTAAGCAGAGTATCTCATCATGTGGTTTGAGAAAGAAAGAGATAAGGAATGCCCAACCAAACCACTGTCACCATGGTCTGGCTGTGTGAATGTCCCAGGTCACACCACCTCTGTAATTATGGGACTACCGCCCTTCCCTCCACATCATGTCTTTGAGTTTCACCTGGTTTCAGGTGTGCATCAGTAGTGTCACATTTCTCTGGCAAAGCATCCCATTGATGGAAGTTTCGTAGTTGGTTTATTCCTTTATATTTAGAAAGACTTTTGCCTTATTCTGAGCTTCTAACACTAAGAAAGATGCTATAAATATTTACACACCATTTATTTTCTGAGCATGGGATTTCATTCTTCAGGGACAAATACTCGGGAGTGGTATTTCCAGGTTCCTTTTTATGTCATCCATGTATAATTTCATAAGCAACAGCCAACGGTTTTCCAGAGCTGGTGTTTATTTTTCAACCCTACCTGCATTGTTTGAGGGCCCACGTATGCTGGATGCTCACCTGGATGTTGTTGTTAGAGTTGTTCATACCTGAGCCATCAGGATGTGTGTATAGGGCATCTATTGCATTCTTGATTTGAATTTCCCTGACAGTCGATGGTGTGAAGAGTCTTCTCCAGTCCGTACCTAACGTGACTATAACCTCAAGGATAGGAGGTCTACTACACAAGGCTGTGCTTGTTTTATCGAGGTTTGTTTCCTTTCTTCCTATTGACTGTTGATGGTTCTTAGTATATTCAAGATGCAGGTCCCTTGGTGGTTATGCAATTTGTGAATATTGTCTCTTACTCTGTAACCTATCTTACTATTGATTGTCACCTGGGCAGATAAACATTTGATTTTCACAAAGTCTATTTATACCATTTCTTTTTATGGGTCTTGTGTTCTTAGCTATAATTTTCATTTTTTGATGATTGATTGCTTGTGACTAACATATTTTTATAAATGTTTATTCTTGATTGAGAGAGAGAGACAGAATGTGAGCGGAGAAAAGCAGAGAGAGAGAGAGAGGAGACACAGAATCTGAAGCAGGCTCCAGGTTCTGAGCTGTCAGCATAGACCCTGACAACAGGGCTCAAACCCACAAACCATGACATCAAGACCTGAGCTGAAGTGAGACACTTAACCGACTGAACCACCCAGGCACCCCACTTATTTCTTAACTTAGAATGTAACTAAAAGTCTTGTTTTTTTTCTGGTTTCTCTCAA